TACTATTAAAGTTCCAATCAGTAATGGGGTTTTCTAGTCGAATTGGGAGGGTTAGAGTGGGTAGCAATGGAGAAACAAATACAAGATGATCAGAATCTTAGGGGAAAGGAGAATAAGGCACCCTTTCTTTGCAGCAATGCAGAGATTTTCTACAGGGGCAGTTTGGAGTACTTTACCAATAAGTTCACAATTATGTTTCCTATTCTTAGTCCAAGAATTAATCACAAAGTTCATGTCAGAAAGGAGACAAGGTACACTGAGGAAGAGAAAAGCTAATCTCTGTGTGAAAAATCTCTGGGAGAGAGAAGGGACCATGAAGAGAAATCGTTGCTACTTTTAGTCTGGGGCAATTTTGAGACAAAAATAAAACAGGAGAATAAAGTGAGGTAAGTAGCCATGAAGGTTTTTCACTCTTCTACAATTGTTAGAAGTCAAAAAGACTGTTGGTCGTGTTTGATAAACATCTAAACAGTTTTGAGGGTAAATGACAAGCCTACATCTACTCAGATATTGGATTGTGTGACCTTAGAAGTGTGAGGCTATACACCTTCAGAAGAAATGCTTCTGCATGACATCTAACATGTTACAAGAACCAAAGAAGCAAGGTGGCAGGGGTAGCAGTTTGATTCATGATCTTGAGAAAGAACTCACGTCTTTTAATGCAAGTCCAGAATTCAGGAAAGCCAGACCTTCACTGTATCTTCAGTAGGGAGGTGGCATGAGAGAGCACTGGTAGATCTAGGAACAGTAAGGCTGGGATGAAGAATCCTGTGACCAATTACAGACTGGAGACAAAGGTCAGGGTCTAAGACTATAGCAATGGATGTCAGGAGAAAGTCAGGGTAGGACATAGCACCATACAGTAAGAAGCAGCCCTGACAAGCTGCTTTTCAGCAGGGCTCAACTAGGTCCCTTCTGAATTTGTGTGAGCCTGGGACATTCCTCTTTAAATGGCAAAACCAGCTATTACACCTCTTCCTGATAGACTAGGTTTTGTTTGAATAGTGAAAGGGGAAAGAGAGAGAATAGCCTCAAGACTTTGAGTTGGTACCTAAAAGGACCACTATATTGTCACAGTAGACTCAGTTTACTGGGTTATGCCAAATATACACATGCACACACACACACACACACACACACACACACACACACACACACACAGTCATACACTCACTACACTCACTCTCACACAGACACTGACTCACACACACACTCTCACACTCACACACATGCTCTCTCTCTCTCTCTCTCTCTCTCTCTCTCTCTCTCTCTCTCTCACACACACACACACACACACTTTTCTGAGATGCAGCTGCTTTGTGTGGAAGAGCAGATAAGCTGCAAAAACATTTTTTAATTGTCTCTTTAAAAAACTGTATCTAAGTGTAATGGGGTGAGATATTTTATAACCCTGGAATGTTATACACTAAATAAGGAAATAGTGTCCAAAAAGCCAATTAACAAGAAAACTCTTTTATTGATATAAAAGCAAAACAAGTTTTTCATGAATTCTAGTACCTGTTTTTATTCTATTAGATATACTCAAGTTCAAAAATCATTTTTTCTGTGGGTGCTGTCACTGTTGTTGACCTCTCTGTAGCAGCAATCCTGTGAGACCACGAGTCTCAGTGAAATATACTGCCTCAAATACGTAAAATAACTTGAATAATTCATTGTCCCCCAATTAAAGCTAAGTCAATTCCTATTCTCCACTAAGCATTCCTACATGGCACCCATGGTACCATTGGGTTGGTGGCATTGATAAACATTGATGCCAAGCCATATCTGCTTCTCAAATGTTACCAATAATGGAAAGAAAAACAAGCCAGGATCAGATGTATACTCATCCCAGTGATGAAAAATCTTCTTGTGTAGATGGGGCGATTCATTCTTACACAAACTGTAACAGCTGTGAGCCACAATCACTGCTTTCAAACAGGAACAAGTGGCTTTTCAGATTCAAAGCCTAGGTTCACCTGTGAGTGGGCCTTAGAAGCCATATTAAAGTTTCTGGTTCTAATTTAGCCCATAACTCTCTGATAATATCTGTAAGTAATTTCTCAGCCACTATCCACAGAAAAGCACTTAAAGTCTATGCCTATGCAGTGAAAAAAAAAGAAGTTTTAGTCATTATCTAATCAATTCAATGGATACAGATAGGAAGGGAGAAAAAGTCAAATGCCAAAGTAATGTTTAAAGCTAATTGTCCATATTTTCCAAAAAGCTACTTGTCAAACTAAACAAATAATAGTTATATTTTCATTTTATCTTTAAATGCACATATATATGTTGTATGGTATACAACATGTACATTAAAAAAAAAGAAAATCAAATGGAAATCCATGATTGTGGTCTAGATAGCTCCAAAGCTCTTTTAGACAGATTGTTTTTATTCCACCTAGACAGCTGGACCACATTGATATGGTCATAACTTCATTATCATTGCTACATTTGAGTCACTAATATAGGAAAGGAAGCTTATCTAATTACCAATTTCCCAAGCTGAGGAAGACTCTCCCCTTCCATTAAATAAAGAGAAAGTCATTCCGATTTGACCCCAAAGAAACAAGTACATGCATTTATCTGACTTCTCAGATCCTCTCCGGATCAGAGGATGGAACAACTATTTGGTTTCAATCTCATACTTATAATGACAGAAAAGATAATACAAAAGTTCATTGTAAATTTGTACAAAATGTATGCATATATAAATACATATCTATGGGTGTATATAAATTCTAAAGATTATATCCATCTACATCTTCAAGAGTCAGAGTCCCATACAGTTGACATATTGGCATTCTCTTTCTTATTTTCTCATTTTTTTAAAACAGTAAGAATCAAGCATGCTACCTTATTAATACTGAATAGCAAGTGCAGGAGTTGAGCTGTAGCTATAGAGGGTTGAAGCAATTAGTTTGACTGGACATCAATAAATAAAATTCTTAGAGTAAATTTAGCTATTTCCATATTGTCTTTTGTTTCATAAAAGTGAAATCTTGAATGCCATATGGGTCAGCTGAGCTCACTAAGTGGCAATCTAAACAGAGTCTATAGAAATTTGCATTGTCATATGCTTATTGCAATAATTTGGTGTGGGATCTGATCTACTAGAATTTCATGTAATTCTCATTCTAGCTCACTGAAATCTTGTGTGACACCACCAGGTTCACAGCATATTAAGCTCAGTATGAAATGTGGTTAACAAGCTGCATCATCTTTACACAGGACACTATAAAATGTCAAACCCTAGTCAATTGATGGGGAAAGGCATAAACAGTTAAAGGTGCACAATAATAGCACATTACAGATGTGTGCTTATGGTTAGAGGTATTGAGACTTTTTTAAAAATACACATAATTAGCTTATTTCTTGTTCCCTCTATCACTTTTGGAAAAGTATGTAGGACATTGCCCCCTAGGGTGTACAGACTGCTTCTTGGAAGGGGATTATTATTGCATGCCTTGAATGCACTGTGATTCATAAGGCAAGGAACACATGAGTTGCTTCAGCACCAAGGAAGTGGAATCAGCATCTAGCACTACTCAAAACAAAATATCTTATTGCTTTAATAAAATGGGAAAATATTTACTGTAAAAAAAAAGTGCACCGAATAATGGGGGGGGGAGAAAGTAATATCTATGCACTTAAGTAGAGCTCATTGAAATGATGAAGCTTTCCTTCTTTCTGGGTCCCTGGTTATATTCAGATTTCACATTCAAAAGCCATTCTGTAAGAAGGTGTTAAGAGCTACAGTTAGATGAGGGTAAGTTGAAGAGATTAATGGACATTCTCCTTCACGGTGCCTTAGTCATTCTGTTGTACAGTGTGGAGCTCAGATACACTGATCGGTTCCTTGGTAGCCTGAGGGAGTGAATGCACTCTGACCTGTTACTAGGAAGTGACTAAGGCACTGGAGAGAATCTGGTTCATTGTTTAATATATTATATCCAGAGATTATATCTGGTCTTCCTAATGACACAACATAGCATGCTTACATGATGGCCTGTGCTTCAGAAAGGGACAGCTGATGAGTGACTAAAATCAACCTGATTAACTTATTTCATAATGATACAGACTGAGCTTGGGGAACTTTATAATATCCAAAAATATTAGAGGCAATCGTTTCTCTGTATAATAAACACATACAACTTAAAACAAGACAGAGAATTGAGGGCAACTAGTGGCTTGGGAGAGGGATATATGTGGGGGTCCCACTGCTTTATAACCAGCATCAGAGTCTAACATAGGTGGGTTTATCTGACATTTGAAGAGAAGACAAAAGATCAACTTTCTCTCTCAGTTTCTTTTTTCCTCAATATTTTCTATGTGTTCAGAGAGGCTAATTAGGCCAGACTTAGAAAAAAGAAAGATCCTCCATTGCTGTACATCAGATGCAGGCACAGAGTTGTAACTAAACAAGCTGTAAACACTTTTTATCCTGTAAGCATTTACTGATTTAACTTGGAAATTTGCATGTCCTGTCATCCAAATTGCCCAACATCTCCACCAGTCTTTCCCCCAAACACATACAGTACAAGCAAGCACACACACCACTGCCTCCAGGTGGTAACTGCATGCAGAGAACTACAGGCACTGTTGAAATATTAACCATGTTTTTAATAGATGGCATTCTTGCACATCCATTATTTGTTTTCTGTTGTGGCTGTTTCTGTTATTCACAAAAGAAAAAAGGGAAACGTGGGTGTCATCTTTTTATAATGGTCTACTACAGAGTAAAATACAAAAGAACACTTCCAGAAACAGAAGCCAGGCCTGCACCACTGACTTCCTCAGCCAGTGGCAACCATTATATCAACAGCTGGAAAGTCAGAACAAGAGTATACAGTTTGGAGGACATGTCACAGAACTATAGTTTTCTTCTGTATTTGGTACCAATATAGTAAGTATATAACAAAGGTGCACTTGTTCTAAAAATAAAACAGAAACATACTGGTTGGTTAGATACTGCATTTTCAGAACTGCACATTACCCAATACTGTTTTTTTTTTTTAGATAAAGGTAACTTATTAAATGTTTAATAATAAGCAAAACAACAGTACACGCTAATCCAATTGTAGAAAAAGAAGAAAGAAACCAATCAAAACCAAGACAATCGCTTTCCAAAACAGCTCCTTCTTTGGCCTGCACAACCAGAGGAAGGAACCATGAAGGCGAGACATTTTCAGCACCAGACATGGCTGGACAGCTCCCGATGTCTCTGAGGCTCAAGAAAAAACAAAAAAGGCCAGGCCACCAGTCAAGTGTGTAAGTGGGGTCCCACGGATGGGGGTGGGAGGCAAAAGCAGATAATATGGGTTTTGTTTTGTTTTGAGCTCGGCCAGCGAGAGATATTTCTAAAAGTAAACTCGAAAACTCTGCCCAGGGGAACCAAAAAGTGAAGAGATGACCGACTAGAGAGGGGTTACCTGTCCTAAACGTTTTTCTGGGACACTCTCTGTGGTCTCTGGTGCTTAATGTAGATGTTTCATTTATAATTACTAATGCCTGAGCCCGGCTGAAGGTGAGGAAAGGGGAGGGGAGAGAAGCTAAAGGAAAAGTGAAAGCCCGTGGGGGAGGGGCAGAAAGGCTACTAAACCTTCACTTGACAGCTATATACAACATCACCGGCCCCCTCCCCTCCCTTTGCTCCTGTGTCATTGTCTTTTATATATTTGGTAGCTTGTGCGGTTTCTCCTCCTTACTGAGAGGGGGGCACGGGGTGGAGAGGGAAGATGCAGCCATCATTGACAATGAGAAATTATGTGATTTGTCATGCGCTTGGACTGTGTTATTAATAGTATAATAATTACTATAAATATCAATAAAGTATTATCGGCGTTATTTCTTCCTCTGAGACTTTCCTCGCCCAATATTTACAAATACCGCACAGTGCCTCGGCGGAGGAGAAACAGTAAAAGGGTGGGCAGGTAAGGAAAGAGGGCAGAGGAAAGAGGGGCCAGAGGAGAACGGAAAAGGAAGAAAGGAGGAACAAAAGCAAGGATGGCAAAGATGCTGGAAATGAGGAAGGGGTCGGGAGAGGGCTACACAATCAGGACAGTACCACCGTTTGCAAAAGGCCCTCGCCAGCTGTGTCCAAGCAGGAGGAAGCTGCATGTGCTCCATGTGGACTGGGGGCTGGCGGTGGAGGCGGAGGTGCACAGGGACCCTGGCACAGGAGACCAGGGGATGAAGAGGTGGCATTGGAGGGGGTGCTGAAGGCAGAGTCCCGGGGCTGTCTCTCCAGCCGGGTTTCTTTTCCATGGGTTGGGGCTTGAACACCTGCCCGGGGCAGCCCACCACCACCGTGGCTGCCGCTGCAATGATCTCTCTCGTACTCCTCCTGAGCCCTCTGCATCTTCCGCTTCTTCATCCTACGCTTGTGGATGTGGAAAGTGGAGAGGGACAGCACGATGAGGCAGAAGATGAGAGTGACCAGGACAATCAGCACCAGCGTGGACGAGAAAGACTGGAAGAGCTGCTGTCCCACCTGCGTGATGCAGGTGCCACCACCTGCGCCCGAGCTTCGGACACCTGCGTTGCTGCCTCCACTGGCATTGTGGGAAGCAAAGGTCCGGTTGAGGAGACAAGGCGGCAGCGCCAGCCTCAGCTCTTTAGGCGCCCTGGCACTCATCGGCGCTGGGCTGAGAGGGGCCAGGCCCACTGGGCTTCCTCTGTTGGACACACAGTTCCCACCGGCCAAGACGAGGACAAGAGCCCACGCCACCCCAACTGCTCCCTGGCGCTGGAGGGAGTGAGTGCTCCAGCCAAAGACTGAGGGAGCAAATGCCTGCAAGCAAGCTGACCAGAGCTAGTGGCCCCAGGGAGACTGTCTCCGTTCCTCCTTGATCTTGTCTCCAAGAGCCCAGATTCCTTTCCCGGGGCACCGTGCTGCAAAGAGAACAGGATTAGTTAGGGTCCCGGCCACTGCCAAGGCAAGTGCGGCGAACGAGAGGGATATGCTACCACTGCTAAGTGGTCCTCAAATGAGCGCTATCATCTCCACAACCCACCAACCCAATCCTACCGCTCCTGGCAGCGCAGGAGAGCAGCTGCCAGCTGCTCCGCTGGCTCAGATAGGGTCTGGCATCCACACCGCACCGCACCGCGGAGACACTGGTTACTCAGCAGAGAAGGCAGCTGCCCTGCCCCCTGCACAACTTTCTAATTGTTACCAACAGCGGCCGGCCGCCAAGGCTGGCTTTCTCTATCTACTTCCCAGAAAGCCAACTGCCCTCCTCTCCGAGCTCTGTGGACCTCTTCTCAGGATCCAGCCAGCATTCGCTCCAAGCAGGCTCCCTATATGCAGCCTTCCTTCTCCATCCCTCCCTATTCAGACACTTCCAGCCTGAACCTTCAGATCTCCAAGGTCCCAGTCCCAGGAGATATATCCCACTGCCTCTGTCCCTGGCCACAGCTGACACGCTGGATCTGGCACACAGGATCATGCTCGACCTTTCTCCAGCCTTCTTCCCTGCTACCTTCCTCCTCCTTCCTCCCCATCAAAAACAGCTGAAGCACCCTGCTCAGTGGAGGCACATCCTCGCAAACGCCCCCCTCCTCCTTATCTCCCTGAGCCTCCCACTTGACGGTATCCTGTATCCTTTTTCTTTCTCCCAGAGCAGGAACTGGAAGGGGAAGGGTTCCCGCCTGCAAAGTTTGGGGGAACCGACCTTGTTTCCAGCCTTCCCAGGGCCCTGACCCCAGGGCCCAGAGGCTGTGGCAGAGGACCAAGTCAGGAGGACCCGCAGCAGGCAGTACAGCTCCCTTGCCTCTCCCAAAAGGCAGGTGCAAACTGTTGCACTGCGGAGCAGCAAGGCAAAGCGCTAGCCTCTGCCGGGGCAGGGGCGGGGGCCAAACCTCTGACCAGAGGTGCTTGCGCAGGCCTCGGGAGTGGTCTTACGCGCCCACATGCTGCCGCTGGACCCCCCGGCCATGGAAGCCTTCAGCCGGACAATTGTCTCTTACCTGGAAAGGCCAGCCGGCTGCAGAGGAGCCCCCGCCTTGGCTGCAGTGACAGCTGCAGAAGGCGCGGAGCGCAGGGACCAGAGACAACA